GTCCCTGACACTTACAATTAGAAGTTAGAAGTGTTAGAACGAGTACAACACAGATATGTAAAGGAACAGGTCGTTGCATGTTACTCTTAATTAACAGCGTTTTCAATGAGGTGACCAATTGTGCCAATATTCATTTCATCTCGAGAGAAAAAAGCCTACTTCTCTCAAGTACATTCATCAATCATTTTTCAAGGAAAGTTTTTATCTGCGATTGATTGACCTGATAATTTACAATTGTGCAATAATTAGCGATGTGTACGCTCGTCTTTAGAAATATTTTACACACGGCCCATATTATACATATAATATGAAATGTAATAAGTACGACTTTTATCTTCTAAAGATCCACAGCATAAGTTTCAGAATCAATAGTTTCGATTGTCAAGATTGATTTCAACGTATTTGCGTACACATGTGTATTGTTTGTATGTTTATCTGTTTGTCTGTCCGTTTGTCTGTCTCTGTGTGTACTTTGTGTGTACGTATGTGTTCGTCATAATTAGACGTAAGACAATAGTGAAACAGATCCAAGTCATGCTCTACATTAAGGTGCTAGCATTCTGTATCGTAGAAAAATCGTAATGGCTCTCTATTTGAGCGAATGACGTGTGTCTAGATTTTACTATAATGTAAGAATTTTATTGTAAGCTAATTTTTTATTATAAGCTCGAACTCCGTCGAAAACTGCTACGAGATTTTTCAGAAACGTGCATGAAATGAGCGAAGGTTAGCACATTCGAGTATGGACAATTTAATTCTTTGTCCTTAGATTTTTTTAGACTTCTAAACATGGAACATATAAATATAATTAATATAATATATAAATATAATATAATTGTACATTTATTCACATTTAATTTATTCAAATTTAATATTATTTATTTTTCAAAATGTATAATAAATAAATAAATAAATATCATAACAAGATATTAAACTTATAAATATATACATATATAAAATAAAAAAATGTCTAATTAAAAAGTTAATATTAAGATGAAAAACATATTTAATAAATATACAAAATAATCAATGATAAAATAATAATTTAAAGAACAAAACATTAATTCGTTATTTGTAATTTCATTAGTAAAGATCACTACTGACAGTGTGATTTAAAACTAATATCACGAAATATAAATTCTTATTTCGAATTTTAATAATTATTGATTGATCTAGAAGCCAAGAAGCGAACAAACAGCAGCGATAGTGACGATAACAATGGTATCAATAACTAATAATCGTAATTAGATCACTAACAAAGTTATTAGATCACTTTCTCGAAGGCTAGTAGAAAAAGGCTTGTTAGAATGCGTTCAACTACTATAAAGGAGAGAAGTCCTCCGTCTAAAGTATAGATGATTGCATTCGTACGAGAAGATTGTCCATGCGATAATCTTCTATGAGGAAACTTTTGATAAAATACATTTGCTCGAATTAATTCGTGATTTTTCATCGAAAGTTTGCCGATTTCCTTTACCTTCGCTACAAATATCTTTTTTATTTTCTGTTTACTTACGTCGTTTACTAAGATCATATCTTGAATCTATTTTCTTGTTTTTTTTAACATGATTTGTATAAATTATCGTTTATTCGTGAAAAAAATAAATTAAATGAAAATTTAATTGAGTTACAAACTGCACGTTAATTAAAATATTAATGATTTCGGCGAATGCGTAGTATTATTAAGATCACAATATGAGTACTATGTAACACAATAAATAAAAGATCATATGAGGTCATGCATAATTGGTTTTACAGCAAAGTTTGAATTTGTGTCGTTTAATATATTTTCATGATATTGGATATGCTTCTAGACCGATTATCCGTGAAATGTTCTTTTTCTACGATATATGTGACGTAGCCCTCACGAAGGCACAATCGTCTCGTTTATGAGTCTTGCGAGGCGTATCGCTGGCGTTCGAGGCGTTTAGAGACTGATGTAGCAATTATATCGACATAAAATGTGTGAACAGCACAACCGTAATTAAAATATCCTTTTTCTTCTTTTTTCGGGCCGATATGCTTTCTTGCTATGTGTTTTAAGTAAAAAATTACTTTCTTCAAATGCTTAGGCGCTCGCGATTCCGCGATTCCTGCATATCTTTTCGATCAAAAGTCTGCCATTTACGAATTGCAAACGAATCCTTAAAGGAATCGTAATATTTGTCCAAACTATTGATCTTAAAGACCGACATTAATAGTGAGTAAATACAAGTTTTCATTTAAAAAATTAGAGTTTGTGATATTTCTTACAGAGAATACCTATATTTATAAAAAGGTAGAATCAACGAAAACATACGTAGAGGAAAATAAATTTACTAATGTAACGAAATGAAGTTACTAGTGTAAGAACTATGTACGTATATCGTCGTTAAAAATTTCGTTTCAAAGGACTTGTGAAAATAAATTTTCGATTAAACTTTCGTTGACATCCCTTAAACATCTACATCGTTAACACCGAGTTTTAATGATATGGGACAGTAACACTATATTTATCCTTAATCGTATCATTTAAACACATGTACATTTTGATTATCCTTCGTTTCCCCGCGGATTGTAATAATATATAGTATATTTATAGATATGTATGTATATACCACGTCCCGGGATCGACGCCGTAATCTTCATGTTATATACATACATCACTTACGTACTGTGTTGTGTGTTCCTCTGTGCATGCATCACACTCATTGTCAGCATAATAATAATAAATTTGTGAACTTCAATCATTTAAGACATGACTCATGGATCATATCGTGAGAATGCTGCCGAATCATTAATTAATTCTGTTACGATATTATCACGTTTATGACCTATCACTAATTACTCGGGCGGGGTAAGCGCAATAATTCTGGACAAACCATTATGTCCCTAATTTCGTCGTGGGACATTATAGGATTTAAACATTCACATTAACGCGTCCCGAGAATCATCGTAAATCATCCCGAAGCGATAAATTAAGCTCGTGAATTTTTGTTACATATTTCTTTCCACGTCATATCTGCCAATTTTTTTCCGTTGTCTTTTTTATTGCCAATCGAACGGGACTGCTTCGTGGAGTCATAATGATCTTCGGGACGCTACGCAAAACGGAACGTCAGTATTACATCTGAGAAACGTCGAAGTCTCGCTATCAGTCTACGAGCTACAAAAATTGTGCGACTTCTAAACACCGAGTTTGGTTGGTTATTATTCAAGTTAACCGCGAAGTTACTTCCGGGAACTCATCCGCTCGTCTCGCCACCACCTCAAGCTAATTACTCCTTTTTTTTTGTCATTAGCTCGGCCAGCGAGCTTTGAAACGATTGTCTACCATTAAATAGTTAAAGCATTAAGTAGTTACGCCGATCGAGGCATTCCATTAAATTCTGTTTTCTATTTTCTTATAGTCATCACTTTTTTTGAAATACTATGTATATACAATGTATATACAAAAATTCTATGTATACACAAAAATTCTTGTATATACTATGTATATACAAAAATTCTAACTCTATAATTTCAGATTGTAATAATATGTTTATGATTTGCATTTTATAACATTAATATAATATTTGTACGAATTAATTACTTTACTTATATATGTGAAATGTAATGTAAGAGAAAAAGGATATAATTCAGAATTATTTGAACAAAGAAATTGTAATTGTACTACATTACTGCAAACTTCTGATCTGCATTCCAAATCAAATATCTACTTTAAATAGAAACGCGAATTCTGAAAGCGCCTCGTCGGCATATAGAAAGATCAAACAGGCTTTATATTCCTGTTGACCCTTAAATATCGATATTTGAATTAGTACGTATGAAATTCGATCGAATCCCTGACTGGATCAACCAGATGAGACCGCCGCCGGCGGCAGATGTCGATCGAGTTTCGCTTCGCACAATCGACATATTTGTCAGTATTATATTTGTTTCGGGAAAAATGGACCCTTATCATTTCATCAGGATACATGGCTGCTTCCACTTTCATTTCTAATCGTAGTTAATCATCGAAAAATAAACTTTCCGTACCTTTCCATATTTTTTGTTCCGTATCCTGCTGCTTCGTACAAACAAGACTTGCGCAGGTACACCTTTATTGCTAAAATCACCGCGAGTGCCTATAAAACACTCGCGAATCTCAAAAGGCGCTAATCGAAGGAACTCGGTTCTCTCGAATCTATTTTCCTTGTCCTGTCTTTTCTTTCTCTTCGTCAAAAAAAAAAAAGATGCGACGACGTTGACGCTGACGTCATCCCACAAGCGTAAATTCAATGAAAGCGTTATGTCTTTATAATTTTTAAAGTTGATTGTCTTCTTCAATAATAACAGTCCTCTGAAGTTGATTGTCTTCCAGTTATATGCTACGTATGATTATGGATCACTTTCAATTAAGTTCGTCATATGCGAACTATATTGCTGACTGATATTCTTTTTGAAAATCTTTTATGCATTGTGATAAACAATCTGAAGTTTCTATGCTCCGCGACATTTGTTTTAAGTTTATAAATTATATTTAATAAAAGAAAAAATAAAACCTTTTATTATAATTTTTGATAATATATTTTGACTTTAAAAATATATTTTTCTTCTATCACACAAATGTTAATAAATAATCAAACATTTAATCGATAAATATGTTATTCGTAACTTGTTTGTTTGCAGTTTTAGATTGATTAAATAATCATTATAAAATACATTTATCGATTTAATACCAGCCAATTATGAGTGCCGATTAACGGTGCGGTTCACTTGGCGCTACAAATGCTTCGAAACTTTTGATTGATCAATCGGAAGAAAAAAATTTTACTAATTGACCAATCAAAAAATGCTTCGAAACATTTGTAGCATTTAGTGGACTGTAGCCTAAATTAATATTCGTGTATAATATAATTTTAATCGATTGAACGAAATAAAAATATTTTTCTATTTGAACACTATACGTTATTGTAAATATAAATTATAATTGAAAGGTCGCAGCAACACAAAAAGAATTGAAACTTCATCGTCGCGAACTTCATTTGCCTTCTGGAACAACGTGAGCCTCGTCGCTACACTCAAGGACTTGTAATAATACAGAATACTGTTATCTCACGTAGATCGTAGAGATTGCATTGAATTCGATCCAGCCAACGATGCCACATAATCAGCCACGATTTCCATCAAGAGATGATCTTGACGACGGGCTCGTCCTCGTCCTTGAGCAAAAGGCTCAATCTGAGGTCGAGCTCGCCAGCCTCGAGGGCCCATTTTTCCCTTAACCATCATGGTGAGTCTGCGTTGTGCGTGCCGAGGGTGTGGATCGGGAAGAGCGGATACCAATCGAAGATGAATTCCTTCGGTGGCAGCACATCGAGATCCACTTCGGCGCCGCCCAGCCCCTGGTTGCTCTCGAAGGCTTGCTTCTTCTCCCAGAGCATCACCAGTAAGTGCCTGCCCTGTAGAGTGTCGCAGCGTCCGTATTTCAGCGTCTGCCGATACTGCGGAGTCTTCGAGTGTCGCACCACGCGGGTTTTGCGCTTCTGCAGCCACTTATCGCCGTCTCGTTCTCGTAAGTACGTCTTCACGTAAGTGTCTATAGATAAAGATAAAAATTTTGCCGTCGAGTCTTAGGAAAATGATCTTAAAATCTAACACTTTAAGCGTATCTATAAGTAGAAAGAATTTTCTTTTTTTGTAAATTTTTAATAAATGTAGATCAAAGAAATATTTTATTTTTATAATACATAAAAATAGAAAAAATTAAAAATTTCTGAAAAAGGTAGAAAATGTGTTTTATTGTCGTATCATTATATTAAATTAGTATTAAACTTTTTTACTAAAATATTTAAAAATCAAGCTAATAGTTTTTAAAAAAATTATAAAAAAAACTATTTTATATTTAACTATTTTATAAAACTATTTAACTATTTTATAAAAAAAATGTTAATTTTACTGCAGCTTTGACCTTAACAAATTAGCGGATGTAGGTCGTTGTGATTAACCGGCACGCTGAACACTGGCTCGGAAATTTGTTTCTAAACGCTAAAGTAATGCATGAATAATCAAGACCGAATACCCGCACATTGTAAAAGTAACGACTATGGAATTAACGCTCGCGCGAGGATAGATAGTCGGGAGGACCTCAAAGATACTAGATTGCGAGAATTTTATAGCAAACAGGAACGAATAACTCGAATTAACAGCGACAAAGAGAGAAAGTATACTCCAGAAATTACCTGGTTCCTCCTTCTCCTCGGGACAAATATCCCTCGCGCAGATAACTTCGACCTCGAGAGTTCCCTTGCATAGATAGAAACCTAGCTGTACTTCGCCGTTCTGTGCTCCTACAATGTTTACAATCCCAATTAAATGGATGCAAAAGAAAATTATAATAAGAAAAATTCCAATAAAATAAAGATTGATAAATATTTGAGATTTAATGAATCAAATATCTGTTTTTATTAAATAAAAACATAAATTATTTCTGAGAAGAAATACGTATACATTTAATGTAGAACGTTTTTCGAGTCACTCAAAATACTGCAAAACTAAAATAAAACGTAAAATTTGCGAGTACAAATAATTTACTTTCGAGGGACGAAATGAAATTAAAACAAATATTTTACCACTGATTATTTTGAATCCTTTCGGCAGCAACTGTCCGCGACCCAGTTTCAAATCGACGCCATTTTCATTTCTCGCTGACTGACTGCAATAACAAAAGTTACGCCATACAAATTCAATTACGTTTAACTTAATAAATATCAATGTAGGATGATTTGTAGTTTCCATCCGTTCCTTTATCGTTGCATGTATGATATATCTGAACTAAAATATCAACGATATGATGAAAGCATAATTGATGAATCGATAATAAATACAATCGAAAATGTGAATAGAATAGAGTGATTGATCCATTTTAACTTGTCATGAAAGATGGATCGCGTACCTCCATTTCTCGTCTTCGTCGGATTCGCTATTTCGATCGTAAAATCTCTCAGGAATCTCCATAACGCTGTCTTTGCGCTCACCCCGCCCTATAAGTTGAAAAATATCTTCTCACATTATTGATCACATTGGACTGACTGCAAACTGTATGGAATTGCATGAGGAAACAGAAAACTGTTTCCTCAAGATATTATTTATTCATTTTGAATAACAATATTCGTCTAAAAAATTCCCAATACAATTGACATTACAATTGACATTTCTAAATTTAAATGATTTCATATTTCCATACAGATTGCAGTTAAGTTATATCTGAATGAAACAATTTACACCTGCCGATCAGAAGAGTCAATACTACGGGCTTGTATTATCAAAAACTCAGTATTGCAACAGATCTTTCAGACAAGCTTCTACTAACAATACGACAATTGCAAAGCATCTTCGGTCGTGTGAATTTCAATATAATTGCAATAATCTATATCTATCATTAACAAATACATTTTAATTTCTTTAAATATTTATTAAAATTTCTCAAACAGTGTACAGAAGTTTACAACAACATTGCAGCAATATTGCAACATTCCAATAATAGTGTAGTGACATTGTAAACGTTGCAATATTGTTACAAGTTTTTGTGCTATATGGGTTGCTTCAAGCATCCTATGATTATATAAATCGTCTTATTATGTAAGTGATTCTTTTAAATAAGCAATTGGGATTATACTAGATAATTTTTTTATTCTTAATTGATCGTATATAATGGTAAAAAGTAATAAAAAGATTATACTTGTATTTATATTACTTTTATAATGGAAAATAAATAAAAAATACTACATATATGTATGTATTACTATCTTATATTAATGTTTTATTTCTGATAATCTTTATCATATATAAAATTTTTATTATTTATGTTTCTGATAATTTTTATTATAGTACAAGAATATACAGTAAGAATTTCTATGCAAACGATTCAATCAATACCAATGGAACTGTTAATCGAATCGTGAAATTCAACAACCGAAGCTTCCTGAATTAAATAGATATATGTAATAAATTCCAAACGCGTTCTCTACATAGAAGTAAGATACAAACTTTAGTTCCAAAGTACCAACGATAGCAGGGAGTTTCAACTCTACGAAGAGAGAAGTTCAGTCTCGATAGCTGTAATAAGATAATTAGAAGCTCGAAGAGCTAATATATAGTTCGTTCTCATTCTATTATTATTTTCTTTTAAAGTTCTCATTTTTACACTTCCTCATTATTTGTTATCATCCTAATTCTGATCATTCTAAATATCTTTTTGACAAAGTTATAAATTTATGGGTAACATAATTATTAATCATACAGATTTGTGTTTAAAATTACATTTCAGTACATTTGTTTTCAATTTTTCCGATATAAGAAAAAATAAAACTTTTTTTAGTTACTTATAAATAAAGTACTTTCCTATTTATTTCTACAAAACATTATTGTTTGTCCGAAATTTTATATCTTTTATTTTTAATTGTTATAAAAGAATATTAAAAATTTTTTGTCAAAAAATTCAATAAAAATGTTATTTTATTTAAGTCTCATAATCATTTGTACATTAATATTATGATTTCATATAAATATCGTAAAACATTTTTGTATTCTAGATATATAACGTTCTTTTTATTGTACAACATATATTTTTAGGTATCATAAAGTAGAACATCTTAAATATACATATATGCATAGCTAAGAATAGTAATAAATAAAATAATTAAAAGATAAAAAGTAAAAAAGACAATTTCAGAATTATAGTATAAAAATAGAATCAGTAAAAAGATGTCGTATAGTCAGTACAGAGACAGTTCGTTAAATAGACTCATCTTAATAAAAAGGGAATTTGTCAGATGTTCGTGTCAATATATATAGTGTTAAAGACGTGCGACAATACAACGACATTTGAAATCTCTTACCTAAGATGATCATGATTGTAGGTAGCAACAGTGGTAGCAGTATAAGTGACTAGCGTTCAAATTATCTATAAATGCTAATAGTGTGCTTAAGCAAATATTCTAAAGCGCAACTTGCTTTAATTGCAAGAAAATTTAGGAGAGAGAAGCAAAAAGGAATTTGTGAAGGCTTGTAGTAAGGAACGGAATGTGGATATTTTGTTTGTTACTCACCTGTCCGCAGATGATTCGAAAAATTGCTCTATTTCCGCAATGGTATTATTAATATAAATAATATAAATAAATAAATAAATAAATAAATAACGTGAACAAACGTGTATGAATGTATTCAGGTGCTCTTTTATCAATTGTGAATTTATTTATCTGTTCATCAAGTTGTGAAAGTTAATATGTGTGAAATTGTTAATATTAGAATAACTAAAGATGCAAAGTTGATGTGCACGTGTATTTCTAAACTATTGGAACATATAAAATTATAATATTGGTGATTAAACAGAATTTATTATTCAAGATATCTTGATTTTTAACAAAGTATCGAATGAAACAATAAAAATAATTTTAGAGAAAATGTTGTATATATTATTTTTAAGTAATTGTCTCTTAAAAAATGATAACAAAAGATATAATCTTAAAAAAAGAAAGAAGAAGAGATAAAGATTAGAAGATGATAAAGAATTAACGCTCTAACTTTTGACGTTTAGAATGATTAAATAGACTAAATGAGAGCAGAAATGAAGTACGATTAACGCAAGCAGGAAATTAATAGTATGCCCGAGAAATTGCAAATTAACAATAATATAATTAATCTCGTTTTAAAAAATTATATTACGATTGGGGGAGGGGGGATTACGAATTATATGTGCAAACAGAAAAGAACATATTTGACAGGTAAAGTTTACCGACATATCTCATTCTTGTCTCATGATAAATGATGTTACGTGCGTCTTTGAAAAATATAATGTAGTGTGTATCGAGGGAAGACAAATTAATGGCACGTGCGCGCAAAGAAAGAGAAAAAAATAGAAGTGCAAAAATAAAGAAGCGAAACGCGAGAGATATTAGAACGGTATTCTCTATCAATAAATATATAATGATACGTATATAATATGATAGTTCTTTCAAAATCTTTTTTCACGAAATGTTTTGTTTATCTCTTCAATTAATAAGAACTACGAAACATAGAACAAAATAAAATAATAAAGAAAATTAAAAGATTATAGAAAAAAATATTCAGAACAGTATAGTAGCGATAGATAAATTGTTATTTATATAATGGATATAAAAATATTTGTCATATAAATTTTACTTAAAAATTGTTTCTATTATAAAATTGATTACTTGAACATTTATAAAGAAGTTGTAGAAAAAGTAAAACACTGTAAAATAAAATATTCATTATATACATTAAAAAAAATTGTATTAGAAATGCTCCACTCAAGTCTTTGTTAAAATTTTGCGTAGAATTTTTAATATCCGAGTATTAATTTAACATAATGTGACATATTATTTGAATATTTTGTATTAAATTGATATTCAATATTTTTTGTGTTAAAACAATACAATTTATTTATTATATAAATAAACAAATAACATAAAAATAATTTTTTTTAAATATAAATTTTAAGATAAATAAATAAAATGTGTTAACATATTATAAATATTAATTTTAATGAAGAAATATGATAGTTTACAAATTGTGTCAATGGTATGTTTTTTATGTTAATTTTTTACATAATATTTGTGTCACCTTCTAACATTCATTTTAAAATTAATACAAAAATTTTAGTGGATTGTTTGTACATATGAGATGTGTTAAATTTAATATTCGAAGGTACACAAATTTTCCAACTGTGTACCTTTGAATAAAAAGCGTGATATCATTAATGGAATTAATGTTTTACCATAGAATTATTTATTCTTTTTATTAAAATTGCGTAAAAGATACCATTATGAAAAAAAATTAAGTGTTCGTTAAATTTTTATCCGAGAATCAATCAAACTTGGGACTTTCAAATCGAAATCCTATTTCTACTCTGTTTCTACTTCCTATTTCGTCTATTTTGAACGTTCAAACTAATGGATATTCTAATATCAACAGTTTCTCTATATCTATCATCAAATCTATTCCGTTCTTATACTCTCTTTATTGCAGAACAAATACTACGATACCGTTGTATTAAAAAGGGTGAATTAAAGGGACGAAAATTGGAAGCGAGATTCTGCTTAAAGTACAGATAAACAGAGAGTGATAGAAGAAAAGAGCTATAGTAGACAGTGAGCGATAGAGAAAGAGTGTGTCTTACCGGAAGCCCATAACGTTGGTTGACAGTGCCTTGCGATTATTTATCGAGGTGGTGTGGAGTGCGGCAATGGGAAGGAGGCCGAGTTACCGGTCCTCGGAGACACAGGCTCGCACTGCCACACAGTAACTGTTGGGACTACGCACTCTGTTGTCGTTGTTGGTGGTCGATGGTAGTCGATTGGTTGGTTGGTTGGTTGATTGGTTGATTGGTTGGTTGGTTGATTGGTTGGTTGATTGGTTGGTTGATTGGTTGGTCGTGCGTGCGTGGCCCACGATTTGTCGTCGATAATCGGGGTCGTGACGATGGCCGATGGCGTTTCGACCGAGCGAACCGAGTGTTTCGCGATTCAAGTCGAGTACGAAGAGCATTCAGAGTTTTCGGCATTGGCGGACGGTGCCGACCGAGAAAGGATATCAATAATCAACAATACATTGAAACGTCAAGTTCAAAGTGCACGTTGCGCTCGAGGCCGGGCACATACGTGAACGAAGATGCACACAGATGTCAACAGGAAGACGAAAGGCCAGAAATTGATTAGGTGATTGCGATTCTTTTGGTAACTTTCGGGGCGCGCTTAATGATCGCTTCGAATATTCAACTCAGCGACTTATTGTCAATACAGGTGGATGCCGCATAGTTCGATAGGTTCGACTGTAGTTTTGAGTCAAAGCGAGGAAACTGAGTAGGCAGGGATAATTGTGAGGAGCACTTTGCGTTAAAATTCATTATTTCCATACGTGCTCCAAAAACATCAGCCAGTTTTTTCTCATGCATAATTCGCAGTCTATTTTCTCGCAAATCTTCTTCCATCAGACAAAAATGGCGTAATTTCTTATCGGATTAGTTAGATCTATCGCGGAAAAATGTCATCGATTTTGTCAATTCTGATAGTGTTAAATTAAAAAATAAATTGCTTTTCATATGTTTAAGAATTAATATACATTTTAACGAAATGGAATGTATTATAAAATAATCAATTCTTTTAGAAGAAAAAAAGAACATTTTTTTTTAATTTAATATTAATTATCATAATTAAAATTTAATAAGTAAATATTTTTTAACAATTGTTAATGAAACACCTAAACAATATTATATTATATTTGTAACTAATGACACCTAATATATAATATTCCCTGAGATTATGATAAAAATTACATCAAGTTATGAGATCACATTATTTTTTAAAATTGTACTTTTTTACTTTTGAATGTATTTTATGAATAATATCTGGATTTCAAAATTGAAAAAATTATAAAACTCTTCACACGTTAATTAAAAATTATATTTTGTTTATTATTTTCCCTTATTATTTCACACTTATTATTTTCACATTTAAAAGAACGACAATTCATAATCATGTCTCTGGGTGCGGTCGAGTTGCCAAGGAAGAAAAAATTTTACTAATTGACCAATCAAAAAATGCTTCGAAGCATTCGTAGCAGCAACACCTCGACCGCAACTTTTAACTCGAGACAAAAGGGTTAAAATTTAGGAAAATCTCTCTCTTAATTTTGGTTAATTACCTTAATATATTGCTTAGTAATGTCGCAATGATTATGAAAATTAGATTACATTCATTACACCAATATACAAAAAGCACCGATTATAATATTGCCATTTACAAACGTTACTTCGATCATTATTTTCTCGAATGCTATATAAACAATTTTTAAACTGACTTAAAAAAAATGTAAAGCAATTTTTATGACTATCAAGAAATTAAATTATTAAATGACATATTATCATCGCGCAATCGATTTCGTACGTTTAATATTTGCCAGAAGTCGCCAGGCAAAGCGACCATTAAGCCTGAAGAAACGATAATCTTGCTGATAGAACGATGACAGCAACGCTTATGGCACACTTGGTGTCAATGCGACAAATAATATTTGGAGGAATGAATGAGAGATTAAACAGCATAAGAACAGATAGAGATAGAAAGAAAGAGAGCAACAGAGAGCGGAAAGTCGCGGCGCGTAAAGTCACACACGTGCGTGCAACGGCACAGAAGCACAATAGCGAATTATGTCATCCACTATTGTGGTCACATTGACGATGGCAATGGCGGCGATGATATTGTTTCTCGCTTTGTAAAAGCCTGAGGCATAACGGGAGCAGGGATTCGAATCATTACTGCGAGAGCAATCAGCAACAGGCAACAGCGGCGCGCAACAGCGATCGCAAATACAGATGAGCAGAAAGTACGGATCATGTTATCTTTTGTTGGTTTTGATGGAGTACATCGACCTCTTCATGGAACGCAAGCAGAGCGAGAGACAGACATAAAGGCGAAATGAACGTGGTGGTTTTATGCTCGGTAGAACCACATTAATTCGAGCATTTCCGTCGACCGAGACGATGACTCCTCGAGACGAAAAAGCGGAGGATGATTGACGAGCGAAGCTTGAATTAAATTTCGCAGATCCAAGCGGAAATATAAATGTTGCACGATGGATTTTTTTAAGCTTCAGATGGACTCACGGCAGTGATCGAGGCACTATTCTTTTTTTATTCTTGCTTAATTCCATTCCGACGTCGACGAATCAATTCCGCGCAGCTCGATGATCCTGTGTAACGTCTTTTGACGAAAGCTCGATGGAGAGTTTCAATCCAATCCAGGAACGAAGTAAACGCCGAATCAAACATCGAGCGTATGAACGATGAGATAAGCAACGAAGCACAATTGAGGATGTAAAACGAAAGGCGAGTGTCAAAGGCGGTCATCGTCATGGTCGACATTAGACACGAAAATCTATAATAAAAGTCGATCGTATCCCGAAGTCTCATCAAAATCCTTTCCAGGTCGGGCTATTCCCGCTTTGATCTGTCCGATTTAGTTTCCATAAATTCGGACAAAAATGATTTTTGACAAACAAGAAATTCCTCTGCATATCAAGATTGTTCGCTCGGTCAAACCGTGTGGGATCGATATGTGATAGTGCGAAACAAATAAATAATAATTGCATCGACATTCGAATATAAAAATGTTGAAAAATTAGAAAGAAGAGTTTCTATAATTCTACAAAAGAGTCATACGATATGGCTAAAAGAAATATAGATAAGAACTACACTGAATGATTTGGAATGTGATTACTAAATCACACAAATTTTATGAAAAAAATTACAGAATATTGATTAATTTTATAGTATGATAATTTCAAAAAATTTAAGAATTTAAAAACTTGCTCTCTAATATAATACTAAAGTTATATAAGAAGAATAATTAATGTGAAAGAGTCCCACTTTCTTCATGTCACAAATACTATAAACGCAAGAGTAAAAATAAGAAATGTTTTCAGAATTTTATCAAAAGGTTTTTATTTCAAAGATTTTATCAAATTATTGTATGAGTTAAAAGATTTACATTTAAATAAATAATCTTAATCTTTTTTTAATGAAAAAATATGATGTTTAATTTTTAATCAACACTTCTACTATTTAATAAAAATTTCTAAATTTCTTTTAGAACTCTCTTGCTTTACAATTAATATGGAGATAAGAATATTTTTTAGAAAATATGATAAATAAGTGTATGAAATTTGGTTTCTTAAAAATTGTTTTCTAAAAATCGAAGATAAAATGTGTAGGAAGGAAAATCAACATTAATAGAGAAAAAGAGACAGGCAGGTGACTTGTGTAAATGCACACACTTAACGAATATGATCAGACAATCACATGTGAGGTGCATGAACACCCAAACACAATGTACACGCACACTCGCACACTTACATACATCAGGATGCACAACTATGATATGATATACGTTTATTAATGAGTCCTGTAATCTAATCAAACGGCGATGGTGATGGTAATGGTTACCATCAAGATGTTAAACAACAATAACGGTGACAAAACAGAGAAAGACAGAAAAAGAGAAAAAGTGTATCGTAAAATGCAGTAAAAATGGTTGTGGGGGGTGAGACGAATGAAAAGGTACAAAAGGCAAACAAACAGACGGACGACGGACGAACGAACGAGCGAAATGATGGCCAAAAAAAGCAAGGAAAACATTTATACTCACGACTGCCGCGTCTCTTGTCACCGGAGAGACTCATGGTCCTGCTGAGCTCACCCTTAGTTGCCTTCAACGCTCGCAGACCTTCCAGAATCTCCTCGGGATCCCTCATCGGTCTGGTGAACGAACTTCGCCGCCGATCGCGATTGTAGTGCACTATAGCAGGCATATCGGCTTCACCCATACTTCCACCTGGGATAAATTTAAGTAATAGGAATTATAGACACAATTATAAAAATCATCCATATTAATGATACCGAAAACTGATGACGATCTTTTGTCTGTGCTTTGCGAAACAAAATTTAATTTTAATGTAGATATTTCACTCTAAAAATTTACAACTGTTAATAATTATTACTTAAATTATAAATTGTTACATGTCTTATATTATCATATCTTATAATTTTTATTAAAACAAAAAAATGCTGTGTCATTCTCTATGATATTCTGTTTTTTTAATGTTTCTTTGATGCTTGCTATTTTTTGCTGCGCGATGCATCGATTTTTGTTGTTTACAACGTTTACATGGACATTTTCTAGCTGAAGTGACGTAATCGAATAGCGATAATCGAGGAAGCTGTTACTTAAGCGTGCCAAGTGCTTCCAAGCAGCACTCGAGGCTAACCCAACAATAGCATCACAGATAGTCTCATTTTATCGTTATCATCTTTGAAAAAGAAGAGAAGAGTGAATTTACTTGTGGAGGTGGCTAGCTTGCAATGAAAAGCGGAACATGGTTTATTAGGTCGAGTATCCGAATGGTATCGAAAATTCTAACAAGAAATTCTTTCAGAATTTGTATTTCCGAAGTTCTAATGTTCTATTTTCTTTCCTTTATGTGTTGAGTGAACAAACTGTAAACGCTTAAGAAAATTAAATAAAATTGACAATTATTTATCAATTATAAAAGTTTATTTAAAAGAGACACTCCTATTATTTGACTTTAAATTACAATAATTAATATTCGTGTATTACTAATAAACTGTATAATTGTAACAACAAACAAAAAGCAAAACCTTTTGGAGCATTTGTTTTATCCGTCGTCACACGAGGCAATATCGAGTTAGTATTTGTTTTGTTTAAAATTATTATTATTGATTATATATTGATATTACATAAATTAAGTATAGTATATACTTTAAAGCTAACATCCCAGAATAAACACTTCTATAATTGATAAATAATTGTCGACTTTATTTAACTTTTCTCATATTCACAATTTCTCTCCTATTCCCTCCTACATCAAAATATATAACTATATTTATTTTAAACTTTGCGTTCTATGATCATGTATTATGGTGTGGCAGGAAACGTACATCAAACTGGATGTGAGAAGTAAGTTATTAATATGCTGCAATAATATTGTTTACCTTGTGTTCGCAATTCTTCTACTCTCCCTTAAATGCATCATTTGGCAAATGCATTTCGAAATCGTTTGTAACGCCAATTTAGAGGTATATTAAAAATGCTACATCAGAGTGATTTACTATTAGATATTATTACTACCAGTGATTTAAATTTCAAATTTATAATAAAAAATATTAGTGTAATATCTTTCCTCTATTATATCTCCTGTTTAATAAGTTACATATTAATAATTATTATATAATGTAAAATTAAAAATTAAAATTTTCTTGATGAAGAAATTTAATACGAATTTAATATCATTTTTTCATAATTAAAATTTTATCCTTTCGACTACTATAATATTAAATACGCTCGCAATTATAAACCTCGTATTAATTTCTCTCAATCAAGAAACTAATCGAAATTACTTGAGAGAGATCCTCTTACTAACGCAATGTTACGTTCCTACTAGTGATTTCGTCGAAAAAGAAATTGGACCGTGTCGAATCTTTTCGTGACACTCACGTTTACTATCAGTGCCGCCCTGACTTTGGAAGCTGCTTCTGCGGCTACCCGGCAGGGATCTGCTATAATCCCGGTTGAGCTCATACGGCTCAACCTCGAGTTGCTCGGACTGGCTGGAACCGCGTCTGGAATTGGCGTGCCAAGCATGATCTGGATGCAGGAAGCAGAATTCCGGGCTACCGCTATCACTCTGCGTATCATCGCTGTAGCTCCGATCTCGCAGTTCCTTCCTAAACAGTCTCTGGGCGACCTCCATTGATACGGAGCCGCGCGGAGAGCAATATGGCGATTTGCCAGTTCGAAGCCCACGTGGATCTTCCAATCGATACCTGACATTTTATAGCGACTTCGACATGTGAACGTTAACGAATACATGTAAAGTGATAACGGAACGTTAATTATTTGCAATTATTGTTAATCATCAATTTGATTAGCATTTCAAGCAAAATAAAAATTATCATAACACTAAAAAAACATCAAAATGGATACAAAAAGTCATTTTTCAATCAGTAATAATTAATTTTATGTGACTTGTTCTATTTGAAATACAACTCTCAATTATCTCTATGGATCTTTCTACATATATTTATTATTTGCGAAAAATAAATATTTTGCACATTAGTATTTGACATATTTATAATGCAATTGATAATAATTAAAAATTATTTTTTAAAAATAACTACTTAATCTTATTAAATCTTAATCAATTTATAAAAATTTTCAAATATTATAACAATGATAGTAATTAGCTATGATAGGCAAAATCGTTTTATTGTGAATATTAAATATCACATGTTAAATTATGACTATTGTAGTTATTTAAATTCTTCAATCTTCTTTGACAAATGCACTTACCAAACCGCTCTATCATTTTCAAGTGCTCGCTGAACATCGACAGTGCACTCGCCAAGAAACACATTATCGCCATCGGGACAGTAATCCCAGAGAGTCACCTCGATCGCACGTTCCATCAGGCTCTCACCATCAACTCCAGTAAAGAACAATGTAGCGTTCCAAATAGGTTTCTGGGTCGGCTCAGCTACAATAGTTTTCAACGGAGTTGCTTCGCCGCTGTAAAGGTCGCGAGTGATTAATCAATCATTCATTTTAAGCATCGAAGATTCGAAGCATAGAGCAAATAAAAGATACATGAAACAAAATTAATCTGGTAAAGTTCTTGGAAAATTACATAATCAATACACACAATACGTTAATTGCGCTTACGTGAAACTTTTCTCAAATATCAATCTATATCTAATTTCATGTATTTCTTTCTTTTCAATTTCTTTTAATATTAATAGTCTACGATTTTTATTTCGTATTGTAAATTTTATACAATAAAAAATCAATTTCGCTGTCGGATACATTCGATCCAAGAATTTATGAGCTGTCCACGGACTTACGATGGAGGAGCAAGGATAAGCTTAGCAAAAGCTTCCGGCAAGGTGCCGAATCCGGTGTCTTCTCGCACACATAAGTCGTCGGCCATAAAAACCGAAACAACCAATTCTTTACGTTCTGCCTCGTACGAAACCTGGATTTGTATTCGACCGGTCACCTGCCTCTCCTTCGCTATTTGTTCCTAAAAGATAGGAAAACAGTTTTAAAGTTTCTAATCTTAATCCGAAGAGTTAAAAGTTTCTGAACCAGCGAGTGGTAACGAATATTCCGTGTTTTTCTCAATTTAAATGTAATCTCTAAAATATAAAATATAATAATAGAAAGTTGACAGCGGAGAGTCATTGAAAGCAGTTTTTGCTGGATCTACAAATAAGTATTGAAATTAAACAAACAAAATTACTGACCATTTTATAGCAGTAATACTGATAAAACTCATGAATAAAAGTACCTAGTTAAAGGTATCTAAATTATCCGCAAAAACATATTGAAGGATTTTTTAGCGAAACTTCGTGCTCCACTCACGGTTGTTAAGGAGACCGGAAGCAGAATTAATTTTGCATGCAGAAGCGGTTTCGCGGAGTTTTGTTGAAAAGATAAAAAGAAGAAGAAAAATGTGAGCAAACTAAGAGCAGTCCTCGAGGTTTAATTTTATTCGTGTCAAGACCCATTCTATGTCGCAGACCATACATATAGCAACTATGTGTGTAATCGTGTATGTACAGAGGTGTAATCCTTAGAAAAGTACTGATGCCGATCTACTTTGCTTGCATTTGACTTTTATTTAACTCTTTCAAACTAATTATTCAAGTCAATAATTTCTAATTCATTCTGATTTTTAATTAATAATTTAAGTCTTTCAATTATGGTCAAAATCCGATATTATAATATAAATATGATCCGATATTATAATATAAATTTATACAGTTTCTTTTTATAAGATTTATAGAATTTTAAAAATATAATCATATAATTTCTATATCGCAAAATTATTGAAAAGATTCTAGACGTAAAATTACGAAACTTTTCAAAATATTAACATTGGAAATTTTAATATATTTGAAAATCTATAGTTTTTATAATTTTAAAACTTTTTAAGCATCTTTGAGATAGAAAATTTTAATTCTTAAATCTTTATACACAAAAATTAAAAAATTTTAATCTTTACATTTACGAATCTTCGGACTTTCATATTCTTAATATAGTCCGTATTTCACGAAAAATTTTAAAATGACCAATTTTAAAATGATATTAAAATAACAAATTAAATAATATTGGAATATGGCAATTTTATACAATTTTTTTTATTATTTATTTATATGAGTAACTATAAATTGTCTGAAAGAACTAATAGAAAAACAGTTTCTAAAATAACTCTACTTAGTATTAAAACATAAATAATTATTTGATATTTTTATATTCAAAAGCATCGAGAAGATATACATCCATTGGATCTGTTTTCTTAGATTATACCCTGTACGTGCAAAACAGTCAAGAAAAACGTTCGTTTAAAAATAACTTTCATTTTCGTTCATCTCTTTTCTTTCGTCACGATCGACGATTTATATATTTTCCTTTCGGTCTTCTTCGCCTCTCGTATTCCCTTCCGATGTTTCCATGACATCGCTTCACACATCTTCTCTGCATTCCAGCTTCGCATGCCTTTCCGCGTGCGCGTGTCCAAGCCTTTTATTATTACGAAAAAACATAAATCGTCCATCACTCTTTCTCTTTTTACGTACGGTTTTCCCGAACTGTAAGCTGTTTCCTACGTATTTACATATTTACATATGTATTTACTGAAAAGGTTTCTTTCTACGCAAGCAAATAAGTGTGTACCATCGCGATGCGCTTCTTCGGCTGCAATAAATCATATACAATGCATACTAAAAATAATATACTTATTGTTATTACTTTGTGTAATTTACTTTGATTTAGTGTTTTAACAATTAAAAGTACATACAATTTTCTGTACATTTGTGCATTTTTTCAAAAGAACTTGTTGCAGAAAATTGATCATGTTACTGTTCTATTCAAATGAAACTATTCGAAATATTATAATTCAAAATGTAACATAATGTTTCACGGAAACATGATATGAATTTGTGGCATAAATACGAATCTAATATCCTAATTTCGAAACTGAAATTTGATGCAGTAAAGTAATTTTACGACTAAACTTTTGAATGATATGCTAATTTCAAAATTATACTTTAAGGTAACATAGTTTAGGTTTTATTAGATAAAGTAATTACTTACGAGAATTAGTCTGAAAGATATAATATTAATTTTTTAATTATTTATAGTAAATTAAAAAATAAAGTTTTAAAAACTACTTAAAAAGTTACAGCCGAATTATAGACGAATAAGAATTCAAAATTAAGCAAATCTATTATTATTTAATTCTTCAAAATTTACATGAAATTTATAATATAATTTATTAAATGTGTATAATCACTGTAATATATATTTTTTAACTATATCATTTAAAATGAAAAATGGAGAACAATATGAAAAGATAATTAATGATCAGAAGACGAATGGGATTATCCTTGAAGATTATTTTTACGAACAATCTCTGTTAACAGATGCGGTTAGTAATGGGAATAGGAAAGTTATCGCGTATAAAAGAGCGGGCGAGAAAATCTTTTTATCCTGATTTAAAGTAGGAAGTGAAAAATGAATTTTAATGAAGATGACAATGAGATTCTGAGAATTGTTAAATCACAGCGAAAAAAATCTAACCCCCAACTTTATTATCGTTTCTCATTATCTTTTCATATAATAGTTTTATATGTTAAAATAGGATTGCCGCGTGCAAGTTTTGTTGCTTAGTAAGCATCGTTGAAATTAGTGAAAATTATAAAATCAAATATTTAAAAAACATTATCCTCTTAGAAGATTAATCTGTTTTTGTAACATTTGTACGAGTTGTATGTGAATTGTTTATAAAATGTTTTTAACCGATGCACCTTAATTATGAATTCAGACAAAATTAAACGATTAATTATTGTTAATATTATTCATTATTCGTGACATTTTGTTTTCAATGTTTATCAAGCATTTTTCATGTATATCGATTTTTCATGTGTACCATTTCGTTCTACAATTGCACGTGTAGAAATTCCTTTGAAGCCGAAGAAGAGCCGCTGCGACAAGCATTGATGTATTATACAATGTCAGTCTACGGTTGTTTCCAAAGCGCGCATTTCCCCAGTATAATAACCAATATTGATACGTTTCGCAACATCATCTTGCCCAGGAAAATTCATTCGATGTATTCTGATAGAAGTTCGTCCATTAAATCTGCGCTTGTGCAAGTACTTCCTATATCTGCAGAGATATTATATACCAGGGAAAAGCGTGAATGTGACAACAACCAAACGCCCGCGTTTCCATCCGAGCGATCCGTGCGCTTGTTCGTCGTAACCGTTTAAGATTATCAGCTTCGTCACGTCGTCGAACATTGGATAAAAACGCTCGCATTCAAGCACCCGTGAAAGTAAAAAAATCGAACGGACGGAGCCGTTGAATACTCGTTTATTTACCGCGTGCTCGCCGAGCGCGTTGCGTATCGATGGGAATATTGAATTGTCGATCACATATTGGGCGTTGATTGTATAGCCGCAGCATCACAATTGCGAGCGCGCCACTAGTGATATCTCTCGCAAAGATGACAATGCGCTCGGACGTTTGGCATTTGTGCATCACTCAGGACGAGTTTGGTGTTCGTGTGTCTGCGCTCGCAACCAAAATTAAGGATAGCTGACAGATAGGAAAGAGAATAAAGAGAAAAAGAAAGAGAGCCATACAAGTGTGTGTACGTGGAGCGAGAAGTTGATAATACGATCTAGAAACTGAAATATCACTCAGCTAAACAACGAGACAGCCACAGACGTACGGAGAGAATTGGAAGAGAGAAAGAGAGAGAAAGAAAGAAAGAAAGAAAGTGAAGGGGATGAGAAACGAGCCGTCAAGGAGGAAAAAAACGCTAGCGTACAACTAGAATTCGTGCCAGTTGGGAGAGAGTAGCGTGGAGGGCCAATATGCTAAACTTGCTCAACATGGACAACTTACATTTCGTCTTTTTCATTTCTCTTTCGTCTCAGCGGATCTATTGCTTTTTTTTTGTTCTCTGATCATTATAGATCTATCTTTATGTCTTTACACGGTGCGGTCAGCTTTTGTCAGCGGGTATATACAGGGAGACACATAATTGCGTATATGCATGTATATATATATACATATATATATATATGTATAATATAAAGAAACGTAGATGACATCGAGTATGTACATTCGTATGGGTGGAAGTAACGGATTTACTTAAAGTAACGTAGAGCAAAGAGCAAAGTGTATAGACATCCAGAGAGGAGTCTCGTGTAAGTCCATCGTACATCGATGAGAAGAATTAGAGTTAGAGGCAAAGATAGAAAAAGGAGGAGGGGGGGAAGGGAGGGGGGTAAAAGAGAGAAACAGTGAAAATAGAAGAGATGAGACATCAATTGAGCAAGGTGTACCTAACATAAAAGAGAAGGATTTCGCTGTGCGAAAATGTGATAAGGAGAGAGAAACGGTTAGAGAATGAAAGAGCGGGACGAAGATGGATATACATTTATACATATATATGATCTTTCTCTGGCAGGGTAAATTACGTAAAGAAAGATCGAGTGCCACAGCCTCCGTGTATGCATATAGTCGAGCTTCTCCGCGAGAATTTCCTTTAGCATTTCCGCCGTTTCTCCTTTCCATTTAACTTTGAGACTTTAGGCTTGAGATCGCTCTTTTCATGAATGAGGAGAGGACGAGCCTCTCATCGCGAATCCAAGCTTTAAATTATACCGAGAGAATCTGGAACAGTGTCCAGCAGTTTTGCCGGGAGAAATTAAAGAGCGTATCGCATATATATGTGTATATATGTATTTATTTATAATTTATAGAGAGAAATGTAACGTAATTTTCTATAAAGCGAAACTTCTCTTTGAAACATTATTATAAATGCGGCTTGTATTGTTTCCTTTACATCGAGCGTGTATTTATTTCGAAAATCATCCATCGAAATAAAAGGGAAAATATGAAATAAATAAGCGATAAAATGCTACATTTAATAATACCAGCATTTCATATGTACACGTATTCGTTAGATGCTTTGAACTTGAAAGTATTCAAGCTCTGAACAAGTCG